CCTCTTTCTCTCATTCTTGCTCCCTCTCTTTTCCTTCCTTCCTCCTTTCTGGTCTCTCTCTTTCTCTCCTCCGTATGCCCTCCCTCTATTCCTCCTCTTTATTACTTATTTAAAGGAAACATTAATTGGCTGTGTGGTGGCACAGCAGTAACGCAATTGGATCCACATGGAAGAGTCTGGAGATTGCTCCCAGGGTCTCTCCCTACACACGTGTGTGTGTGTGTGTGTGTGTGTGTGTGTGTGTGTGTGTGCGCGCGCGCGCGCGTGTGTGTGTGTCTGTGTGTGACCATGACTGTGTGTGTCCATGATCCTGGCTGGCTGAGACTCGAGCGCAGCATGAAGCCCCTATGGTAGTGTGTCTCTTTCTAGGCCTCACATGCTCAGAGAAGAAATAAATAACTTCAATACATGAATAAAACATTATTTTAAGGCTATGTTCATGATGATCAGGCGAAGACTAGATCAGAGAGCAAAAGACCCTTTAATCTAAAATGCCCACAGCAACTCTTCCTCCTTCTCTTTCCTCAGTCTCTCCCATCCTCTCTTCCCCATCTGCCCCATGGCATCTCTTCCTCTTTCTCTTTCTCAGTCTCTCCCATCCTCTATTCCCGATCTGCTCGTTCTTTCCTACTTTTCTTCATTTTAGGTAGATAGTAAGTTCTGTACGTGATGATGAAAACAAGCTGCATTAACACCATCTGGCCAGCTGGATGACACTCATGGAAACAGAAGGGGAACTGGAGGGTAGAGCCACTCTTCTACATTCGAAACCCCCACCTTTGGAGCACCAGAAGGAGCCTTTCCAGCATCTACACTAAGCTAAGTATCTGAAAATATCAGAATTCTCATCCCAGATCTGGTTCCTCCTCTGGAAAGACTATGCTCTCTTGGTTAGTGAACCTCTAGAGGGTTGCCCTATTGTCTTGAAAAGACACAAGGTTATGTGGGCTATGAGCTCTCAGCTTCCATGAGATCTCTGCCACAAATCTTACACAGTAGTTGTGATTTTTTTTTGGGAGGGGGGGCGGTAATGTTTCTTTTCTTCCTTGGCTAACAATTTTTAGCACCATTCTTAGTCTCCACCAGCACATAGTCCAAAAAAACAGAAATTTCCATCTATTCCCTTATAGAAATAGAAAGTTATTTAATTCTACATTCCTGAAATACTACACATTCTTAAATAACTAAAAATAAAAGTAATAGTGCATCTTACCTGTGAATAAAGTAGTTGATGATGATTCCATTTGGTTTTTTAGGTGGTTTCCATTTAACTTCTATGCAAGCTGGTCCCAGTGCCTTAAGATCAGGGGGAGTAAGATCCATTGGGGCTGCTTCCGATGTTTTGACAAACATTCGACTGCTAACTCCACAGCCTCCTTGAAAGCAAAAATCAAGGTCTTTAGTAATTTGCCACGCAAGATTTATGCATACATATAGAGGGGAAAAATAACATGAAAATCATTTTATTTGAACTTTCATATACATACTTACATACATATTTTAGGACTATAAGTAGATACTATAAATATCTAGGATCTGAATATTTAAATGAGGAATCATTTTGGAAAATTTGTTAATTTACCACATATGCATACAGGCATAGACAATAAAGCATAGGCATGTTAGAACAGAAACTTCTCTAAGTTTATTTCAGTCATTCTAGCTAGAAAGTGATAAAGTGCTTGAATTTCACAAGTGTATGTGTGACCTACACATGTGTACTTTTAACAATATTTTATTTTTGCCAATATTTTAAACTAATGGTCATTCTTCAAGCACACAGAAATTGAAACATTAATTTGAAGGGTATGTACCCCTACAGCACAGCTTAGGGATGGAGACATACAGAAGTTGACTTTGCACTTAAATCAAGAAAACATTACTTTAAAACTATTCCCATGTTGATCAGCTCAAGATTGGATCAAGAAAAGCAATTCCCTTCAAACAAAAATATCATGGTCTGGTTTGCAGAGTAGTGGACAAATTGGCTCATGGTTTCTGGTATAAACTTGGCACAGCAAAACTGCAGACATCTAAACCTGACCAACTCTCTTAGAATTAGCTCTCCTTTCAAAATAGAAGTTCTTAAGGAATGTAAGGACGCCGAAGGCATTCTAGCTACATACTGAATATATGGTTGGTAGGGACCAGCAGTTAGAGTAATGGCTATGTCGCTGGACTCCCATGTAGTCGATTGTGGTTTGAGTCCCGGACCTGGTGGCTTAAACTCACGTGTGCGTGTGTGCCCAAGATCCTGAGAGGAGAATGGAGGAGAAGGGATTGCGGCATCACCATTCGCCCGGGGGGGTGATTTCTTGCTTTCTATCTCTCTCTCTCTCTCTGTCTTTCTGGCGAGTGCACGCGCCCTATAGCAAAAACCTCTCAAAAAAAAAAAAAAAAAAACCAGAATATATGGTTGGTAAATTTCTAAAATCTACAGTAAAGCAAAATGTGTTGTTCACTAATATGAGGTACATTTCTATTTCACTTAGTAGTCAGGTGTTATATATCATGTGCCATATAGTCCATATATGATAAATGTACACATACATGAATATGGTAATAAATACATTTAACATAAAATGGTTGTAAGTCAAATAATTAATTTGTGCTCATGATTCTCTGTTTTATCCTCTACATCTCAGTTTACATTTAACTAGCTATCCCTTTGGGGGGATGAAGGGAATGGAGAGCTCCTCCTTGAGACGACACAGATAGATGATTTTGCTGACCACTAACCTAAGCCATGAAAGTCAAGGTGACGGTTTATGTACTTGACATAGAGTTCAAGGAAGCACTGTAAAATATGTAAGATTCATCTGGATGTAACTCAACTTTTAAATAACTTCTCCCTTTCCCCTCCTCGATATAATTTAAATAAGACCAAGGTGAATACATTTTCTATGAAATTTTTGTAATACTCATTTTGTTTTATATTACCAATGACTTCTTTATGTGAGCTAGGTGTTTTTCTTTTAAAGGGCCTTATAAAACAAGACTTTGCAAAACCACCATTTTAATATATTTAAATATTCATGATTTAATGTGCAGAAATGCATAATGCTTCACTTGATGCCAGCCTCTGATTTTTCTAGGTAAACAGTCCACTACAAATAAGAAATGAAATGTTAGTCTTTTTATTTGAACTGAGAATCTATTCCTTTTTAATGAAAATTTTTTAAGAAATACTTTTTTTTTTTTAAATAAAAGCCCAGGCCAAGTGTCTGAAAGACTCACCATTTTGACACGCTTGTATCCTTATCTCATATTGTGTGAATGGAGCCAAATTTTCCAGCAGAGCGAATTGGTGATGACCAACAGAGAAGGTCAGAGGGACTAAACTTCTGTCAGTGAGCAGGACATTGTACTCCACAGGAATCTGGGGGATGAGAATCCCTTTAAAGAGAGAGAGAAAGAGAGAGGGAGAAAGCATATGCAGAACGGTCAACAAATGTTTGTTCTTTAAGAACAAAGTCTATTTAACATGTTGCAATTAAGAGGTAGATCATTACTTAAGATAGCAGTTAGGGACTGCATAACACTTAAGTGGGGGGACCAGCAGATGGCAAAATGGCTTCATCACTAGACTCCCATGTAGTCGACTGTGGTTCGAGTCCCAGACCCGGGGGCTTAAACTCACGCCAGGCATGTGTATGTGCGTGCATGCCCAAGATCCAAGAGTAGAATGGAGGAAAAGGGATTGCGGTATGGCCATCCTTCCTGGGGGGTGATTTCCTGCTTTGTGTCTCTCTGTCTCTCTCTGTCTTTCTGGCGAGTGCACATGTCCTACAGCAAAAAAACCTCTCAAAAAAAGAAACTTAAGTGGGAAAACATTAGAATGTGTATTTCAAATGTAAGAAATATGAATTATCTATTTTCAAAGAAACAGTATAATGGTTCTATGCAAAGACATAATCTATTGGCAAATGAAAGTGAAGACACATTTAATGTAAAAAACAAAAAATAAAAAAAACAAGGCAATTCAAAATAGTGTCATATATTTTTCCTAAGCTTACTTACTCTTAAAGTTCATGAAAAAACAACACTAGTTTTGCTTGTGACAATAATTTTTCCATAGAGCATTGTGTATGCATCCTGTTTGACACGGATCCTTGACATAATGGCCCATAAAATATCCAACTCATAGTCTACCTAGAGAATTCACAGTGCATTAATTATCAAGCCAGGACAGTCCACTTTGCCAGTAAGACTTATGGACCTACATATGTATGGAATTTAGGTCCAATAACCATAATTTCTCACTCCTGTTTCCTACAGAAAGGAGATCTTAACCTCTTCACAATCTCCTCATATAATTACATGCCCTTTAAGTTTTATTTGGTCATGAACAATATGCATACTTTTCCAGGGAGATGATATGAGCTTTGAATGAAGAATATAATGGAGTTTCCCACTAAATTTCTTTCATTGATTTATAAAAGGTATGAGTTTTGGGGAACCAGCAGTTAGAGTAATGGCTATGTCGCTGGACTCCCACGTAGTTGACTGTGGTTCGCGTCCCAGACCTGGTGGCCTGAAACTCACGCTGGGCGCATGTGCGTGCATGCCCAAGATCCCGAGAGGAGAACGGAGGAGAAGGGATTGTGGTGTGACCACCCCCCCGGGGAGTGATTTCTCGCTTTTTGTCTCTATGTCTCTCTCTGTCTGTCTGGCGAGCGCACGCGCCCTATAGTGAAAACCTCTTCAAAAAAAAAAAAGTATGAGTTTCATAGCTTACCTTGATAATACTTAAATAAGTTTGTCTTTACTACAGAAACAATGGAATCTGTAGACAGTCTCACTGAGAAAACAGTACAGGACTGATGACCCAAAAAAGATGAGATCTAAAGAAGAAAATGTAAGTTTGCCTTCTGTGGATGTACCCCTAATGTTTAAGGGGTGGATGGGCTGGTGTCAACAAAAGAGGTTCAGGATTCTGTGTAGCCCGGAAGGGAAGAAGGAGTCTCTGAGAAGATGCTGTTCATGGTCAGAAGGACTGATCAGTTGTGTTCCCTGGAAAGGTGCTAGATTGTGCTGAATTTGGCAACACAGACTGAGAACTATTAGTTTAAATTTAGAGCATCCTAGTTGAATTGTCTGGTACATTTTCCCTACTGGCTTAGGCTACTATCATTTCATCATTGATTTCTAAATTCCTATCATCTCTGACTTTTTCTTTCTCCTGCATTATGGACTTGTATTTCAATAGCCTATGTTTTATGAGTGTTCCACAGAGACCTCGATCTCAACAGGTCCCACACAGAATTAACCATATTTCCCATTCCCAAACTTATTTTTCCTAAGTTTCTTTATTTTGGCAATCATAACACCATCTTCGCATTTTCCTAAATTGGGGTTCTTAGAAAAGTTTTTGTGGAGCCAGTAGGTGGCATGGTGGTTAAGGCCCTGGACTCCCACATGGTTGACCACTGTTCAAGTCCTGGACCTAGCAGCTTAATTTCTCACTCTCTCTCTCTCACTCTCTTTCTCTGTATGTATGCCTCTCTCTGGTCAAATTCAATAATAATAGAATGAAAAATTAAATAAATAATTCTTTTAAAGAGACTTTTTTTGTTTGTTTTTCTTCAAGACTTGAGTGATTGCTATTGTAAATTTCATACATTTTTTTTTCCAAGAAATTTTAGCTCTATATATAATCAGAGAAAAGGACAGTCTAAAGCTGCTAGTAAGATCCCACCTATAGTTTAGGAAGATAACACTGTTGGCAGGTGAAAGACAGAATAAGAACATGAGCTGGGAGGCAAAGAAACCAGTTTGAAAGTCATTACAATGTTTTCAGCAATAATATAAACAAGAATAATCATCCCACGGGATTCCTACATTGTGCCAGACAACATACATTAACTCATTTAAAACTACTTCATAAAGATAGGAACTTTGTTCTCCTCGGTGTGGTTCCAGAACCTAGATTTTGGCACAAAGTAGCAGCTCAGTCAATGTTAATTGATTGACTCTATGAATGAAATCTCAGGACAATACTGGGAGGTAAATATTAATATTTTTTTCCCCTAGGATAAGAAAACTAAGGTTCAGAGAAGTTAAGTAACTTATCCCAGATTGCACATTAATCAACTGTAATAATGACATGAACTCAGGCTCATATAATGCGATCACTTGTCCCTATCTTTAAGCTCTCTCCTAATAATAGGGTTTTGGAGTGGGACAGCTTGGGGAAAAATGCCAGGATAGCTTTGAGAGAACATGAACAGAGTGTCAGAACAGGCCTGAGACTGATTAAAAGCAGGGAAATAAATGATAGATAAGTCGGAACCCCATCACAGGAACAAGTGAGTCATAAGAGATGGTTCAAGTTCTGAAGACAAGTTTACCATCTGAGATTCACAAACCCTGGATATGGGCTCACGCTACAATATATTCAGGGATAAGAGCTAACCTTGTACCTACTTCTGGAATATTACTTAGACTTGCAAAATTGAGGAAATACATAGTTTGCTTGTTTAATCAAGGAAAACCACAGAATTGCATTTTTCTTTTTTTTCCCCAGGTTTCTGTCATAGGGTAGATACAATCACTGGAGAGAGACAGAGACAGAGAGAAGGAAAGTCAGAAAACACTTCCCAGGAGGAATGGCCATGCTGCAATCCCTTCTCCTCCACTCTCCTCCTGGAATTTTGGGCATGCACACACATGCACCTGGCATGATTTTCAAGCCACCAGGTCTGGGACGGGAACTATTTTGGGCCATGTGCGAATCCAATGCTTTAACCACCACTCTGCCTGCTGGCCTCAGAATCGCATTTTTCTTTGTTCACAAAAATTGGGTGTAAAGATTTTGTCCTGGAAAATTATATGTACAGTGGGTGATTAGAGTTTTTGTTAGCCAGCTGCAGCGTTGAAAACTCTACAGTCACCTCAGAATGAAACAACCTCCTGACAACAGAAAAAGTTTAGGCTGATACATGAGTGTGCTGAACAAGTACTACTCATGATGTAATCAAAACTTGACATCATTTTAGTCTCTTACTCATGTTTTAAAATGAATTAGGCCTGAGTTATCTGCCCCAGGCATGGGATGAAAAGTTGGCCTGGCTCATGGTGCATAGGTGCAATCTCCAAGAATAGATATTTTTGTATTATTATTATTTTTTTCTGTGAAGAAGAAAAAACGATGTCACGACAGAAATGAAATGCCTACAAAAGTTAATTTCATTTATCTCTTGATTGGTTGTTTATGTCCTCTAAAAATTTATGTATTGAAACCTGATGTGCTGCTATAACAGGGTTGAGAGGGTGGAGACTTAATCTGATTATGATGATAAGAGGTGGGGCCATGGAGAAAGGATTAAGGCTTCAAGGTGACACTTCCACGGTCCGATACTCCTGGGTTAGAAGGAGACAAAAACATGAGGGCACAGACATGCTCACTCTTGGTCTACTTAGGCTCTCATCATGTGATGCTTCCGGGCAGTGCCAGGACTCGGCAGGAAGCCCCCATCAACAAGAAGGCTTTCACCAGATGCAGCCTCTTGACCTTGGACCTCCAAAATCATGAGCTAAGTACCCTCTATTATAAATCACCCAGACTCAGGTATTTCTGCTAAAAGCAACATAATGGACTAAAACACTGGTGTGGCCAGTGCCCATGATTCACTTATTTAGAAGATAATCTTCAAGGCCTAATTCTCGACTACAAGACAAAACTGGAAACACTTTTACTGCGCCCATTGGGACTGCTGTGAAGTGAGACCAAAATGAAGTTCAGGAGTTGGATGAAGGGATTTCAGTGTAGAGGCCGTTTGAGACTCTCACTTCATCAGTTCATTAGTGGCTAAAGAACCATATGAGAGGTAAAATAAAGAGGAATATAATCAAACCCTTCTCCCCCAGTATGCACACATTAACTATATTCTTTTGAGAATATTGCTTAGATGATAAAAAAAGATTGAAGAATGAATCAAGGACTCTTTCAGTTGCAATTTTTTTTTTTAAAAGAGATTTTTGCTAGAGGATGCATGTGCTTACTGGAGAGACAGAGAGATAGAAAGCAAGAAATCACCCCCCAGGGTGGATGGCTACACCACAATCCCTTTTCCTCCATTCTCCTCTCAGGATGTTAGCATATATGCACACGCACCCAGCATGAGTTTTAAGCCACTGGATTCGGGTCTTGAACCGTGGTTGACTACGTGGGAGTCCAGAAATGTTACCATTAGGCCATCTGCTGGTCCTTCAGTTACTATCTGACCTTTCAGCATGAAGATGTTGTGCTTATGGAAATTTCTGTCTTGAGTATGTTAGAATGTCACAGCATTTCACCTCACATGGTGGGCATTACCCTTTATTGTTACCCTGGCATAGTCACTAAAGCAGTGGGAAAAAGGTCTGTTTGGACCATACATTTATGATAAAATAAA